TAATGATTTATTGCTCTATATGTGATGTTGCACCAGCAACTATGACTATCACTCTGAATGGAACTCGGAAAGGAGACAGGAAACATTACAGATACAGATGCTGTAGATTTCTACATCAGCAAACAATGTGTAGAAAATGATTTGTTTCATAAGTTAAGCAAGTTTTTAGAAGTGAACTGATTTATTGAATACAAACCAGGTGGTCTGATTTGGTGTTTCAGAGCAAAGATCTACTGACCAGGCTGCAAGAGCTGAAACACAAAGACATCCAGCTGAAGATCACCACAGGAGAATTCAACTCAAAAGAGTTGAAGGACCTTGAAAGAAATCACGGTTCGGCTCTCCTTCTTTGTTTTCTGATTTTTACCTGCTTTTATTCTGCACTTTTTTTTACCACTTTTTTCTGTACTATTCTTTCAAATAGTCTGAAATGGAACTTGACATATATATAGAAATATGTCATAGTGGCTGAGAGGTGCAAACACACTGCAAATTCATAAACAACCAGATAAATACAAATAGAAAAAGAGTATGGCAAACAAAAAATTTGACTAGAAAACACATACAAAACAAAAAAGCTGGAAACAAGAGCTGTTGCAATCACAGAGAGCAGTAAAGTGTAAATGCACTGCAAATATGGAAGCTGTTGCAAACATGAAAAATACATGCAAAGGAGAACAAAAATTCTGGAAGAGGTAAAAATGACTGTAAGTTAAGAAAAGCATTGCTAGAGGGAAACAATCATTAACTCACGTTGGAACAGAGACCCTCAGTAAAATCATTTAAGGGATGCTGAGAGAGATTATGTAATAACAAAGATTCAAAGAAAATACTATATTTTCCTTCTTCTAGGGCTGGGTGACATGGCCTAAAAATAAATTATCAATTTTTTAAAATTTTTAATCCAATATTTAATCCAATTTCCGATTACGAGAACAAACTTCTCACTCACCTGTAATTTTATGTCTTTTGCTGTTTCGTGTGACGCTGATGCTTGCCAAACTGCAACCTGAGAGTAATACTGCAGCTATAGAAACTTTGGGGAGCCAAAAATGCACCGTTATAATAAAAAAAATCAATTAAATTTTCTTTAAATCGCCCTCAACAAAAAATTCAAATTGATAAATTGAATCGATTTTTTTCCCAGGCCTAAAGTTTTCCCTTTAAATGTCCCCAAGCGGGCACCTCATAGTAATGTCTATAATGGTAAGGTCTCATATCTTTGGTCTAGTACCAATTGAGTTGATCGTCTCCCCCTTGGATCTGAAACTTTTCTGTTAGTAGCACTAGTTTTTAGCTTTTTCTAACTTACAGTTCTTTTTGCTAGTTGCAGCACTTTCCCTTGCATGCATTTTTAGTTTGTGTTAGTCTAATGTTTTGTTTTTGCAGAACTTTATGTTTCACATACATGTATTTGCAGCAGGTTTGCACCATTCAGCCACTAATTTTAGGCACATTAGCCCCTAATTTTGTTATCAATTTCAGAAAAAACTTTCTCGGTCCTTTTACTGCTGCGGGAATTTTGCTTTTTTTGAACATCATTCCCAATTTTATAGATGCTGAGGTTCACGAGGTGAACATGACAGCACTCGCCAAAGCCTACAGCTACCTCCATTCGTCTTTTTGGGTGGTTGATCGAAAACATTTCTACATCGGCAGTGCCGGCATGGACTTGGAATCTCTGTCCACCGTAATGTAGACCCACTGCACATTACATAACAAACAAAAAGCAGAAATATATTAAAGGAAAGTGTAAAAGAAAATTATGACAATGTATCAGAAAAGGGAGCAGAGCAAATTATTTTTTTTTAGCACCATAGTTCAAAAAGTGATTTAAAGCCTGTACAGGAAAATAAAAGAAAAATGTCATGACCAAAAAAAACAAGTGCATTAAAGGAATGTTAGGTCATGATCTGCTACTGTTAGAAATAGAGAATCCAATCTTCTGAAAAAATCTAGGTGCACTAAAGATGATGAAGGAGTTATAAACAAGTCATAAGAGGTAGTAGATCGTTATGTTGCTTGTTATCCTCTGAATTATATATACTGTACTTTCCACACTATAGAGTAAACCTCACTATAAATCACACCAACAAAGTTTTTTTTGTTTTGTTTTTTTTTTACTGGGAACATACATATGTAAGGCGCACCTGGCTATAAGCCGCAGATATCTACTAAACTGTCCCCCGACACACCTCTAGAGGGAGCTCTACATATCACCCCTGGAGTAGGGACAAAGAAGAATATTAGTTCCAATTAGCTTGTTGGCTAACAGCAGTAAGAGCTTTTAATGAAAGATAAGGCTCTGACGGCTCTTTAGTTCAGCTCTGGCTAAACTAAAGAGCTTGCAAGAACTCATCTCTCAGGCAGATGAGTTCTTGCAAGTTTAATAAAATCAAAAAGATAACAGAATTCAAGAATCAAACCAAAAAGCTGGGAGACATCAGGAGAAAACACATACAGGAGCCAAGTTACAACAAGGAAACAGCACTGAAGAACTGCACAGGGGGAAAATATATGGGAGACAGAACAGAGGAGTAATCAGCTGATATGGAGCAGGTGTGGATAGAAGTGACTAGAACGGGAGCGAGGGGAAAATAGACAGGCACAAGGGGGCAACAGAGAGTAACTCAAGACTGCTTAAATATAACACAAAATGAAAAATAAACGAAAGATCAATAAAAAAAAATGACATAGATACTCAAAAGTCCAAAAGGGGAGAACCATCATACTTCCACTTCCTTGCCATTAGGAAAAATCCACAAAAAAAGCAGCACCTTCATATAAACTGCATGGTTTAAACTTTAAAGCATGGGGAAAAAGTAGTGGCTTAAAAAAAAAAAAAGAAAAGAAAAATGGTTGCACTTGTTTGGAAATGTACCTTACTTAAATTATCTTTATAAATGAGAAGAAAGAATCTTAATATTTGCATTAACTTTTGTTTGTTTGTGTTGATGTATAATTTACTCCAAAAAGGCTAATCTCTAAATGTGTTTTGCCTGCTCTACAGAGAAAAGAGCTTGGTGTGGTGGTGTATGACTGCAAACCTCTGGCCTTGGACCTGCACAAAGTTTTCAGTCTCTACTGGGGGCTTGAGCATAAAACCTTCATGCCAAACTTTTGGTCCAAGCGCCTGTTTCCCTTCTTTAACAGGGACAGACCTGGAAACCTCACAATAAACAGCACACAATTTGAAACCTACATCTCTGTAAGTAATAGTGATAGTTTCAGTTTGTTTTTCTTATCAGATTCACTAAGTGAGATGATGTATCTTAGAAGTGAGTCTTTTGATTTGACAGTAATAGATTTTTTTATGACCAACTTTGACCAAAGTATGTTAGTATTACTTTTGCCATTCTTAATTTGCTATATATTCACCTTCATAAGTTTTAAATAGGCTAGTTTTCTTTCACACTGCATTTGTTCACAAATTTTCCACAATCTATATATTCTCAACATCAAACATCAGCATTTCTGCTTATAATGTTACAGCATATTACAGAATATAAAACCAAATAATATTTTTGGTGCAGTATCCTGCTTTGAGGGACTGTCATTGTTAAAGGATTAAAAAAAACTTTTCTCTCACTTTTTCCCTCCCAATTTTTTTCTAGAAAACATACACATGCATAAATAGGCTGAAACAAGTGTAAACATCAAATTAAACTGGTCATAGTTCATTGGTATGATATTTGCATCATTAACCTTGACAGATATTCTGCCCATCATCAAGATTCTTGCTCTAGTCTCTGTGGTAATAAACTATTTACACCATGTGTAGATGTCCTCTTCACAGTGCAGCACATAGTCAGCAGTTGTGTAGTCCTTGTCTAACAGTAGCAACACATCCTAACTGTATTTGTATTCTCCTTCTCCACTGTTGACAGAGCTCGCTTTTCATCCCCAAAGATCGCAGCAGTGATCTAGAAGCAATCTCTAGAGTCATCCAGCAGGCCCGCCATTTCATATACATCTCCATTATTGATTACCTGCCCCTCATCAGCATGCAAAGGTTAGAGCATCTCCAGTGTTTTGGCAAGCATTAACCATTAACAGTTAAGATGCATTGCTTTGATTCAAGCGATTTATTATTGTCTGTGCTTTGCTGTCTGTCTGGCTCCATGCCTTTGGATTTCATTGCCTGTGCCAAGATACTGGTCTGGTATCGACGGGCTTTTAAGAGAGGCACTGATCTTGAGGAAGGTCCGCATACGACTGCTGATAAGTTGCAGGGAAGAAACTCATCCTCTGACTTTTAACTTCATCTGGTCCCTGAAGAGCCTTTGCTTGGAGGAGGACAACTGTTCATTGGAGGCTGTGAGTTCAACACCATTCTGTAGTATTTCCAGCTCCTGCATATGCATTATATCAATGCTTACTGTGTAATTGTGTGCCTTTGTTTGTGTGTGTAGAAGTTCTTCAGCTTCCAGAGGGATGGCAGCCTCAGCGGAATAAATCACAACAGGTTTATGGTTACAGACAGAGGACTTTATATAGGTGAGCTCATCAGCAGATTTTGAAACAGCTGTTGGTGTAACTCTGACAAAAAACAAAAATCTGATTTCTTCAGGGTAATCACACATCTCCAAAGTAAAACAAACAAGCATATCTAATGTTGCCCTTTAGAGTTAGTGACCCATTGATTAACTTTTTTTTCTGCGGTTTTCTGACAGTTGATATCAGTTGATGAATGACCCGCTATGTCACTGAAGGGTAACATACCGAGTCAGGATGCAGCAAAACCCAGCTAATGATACACAGTTTATCACAAAATTACATATTATTCTGAACAGGAGTGTATGAAAAGCAGCAGGTATATTACAAAGTAGTGCCAGGATTTGATGTTCTATAAATCATTTTATTCCCCCATCTTTTGACTGTCTGAACACCAGTTCCTTTTCTAAACATCATCATAAATGCCATGATAACATGTGTTGGTAACAACCATTTTTAATTCTAGATACAACTTAGTTTTTAAATGTGATTTTATACCCTTGGCAAAAACCATGAAGGAAAACATAATGCAAAGTTATGATGCATCAACAAAGTTTTTTTTTTTTTTTTTTAAGAACAGGGGTCCGCATCATAAAGCAGGCTTACTGAAAACTCTAAGTTGTGTAAAACTGCAAACAGGGAAACTCGGACTTTTCTGGTTCACAAAGAGTTTCCTCAACCTCTGTTTCAGTCACCATAGTAACATTCTCCTCAGAGCTAATATGGTTGGTAGCAGGTTTTCCTCGGTAAACCCTGAGTCTCCTCTGTCTCCTCTCTCCTTACAGCCAATCACGTTGTTTTATTTCCTGATTTAGTCAGATATTTGTCATAGTTTTGTGCATTAAAAACAATTTATATCTATATCATTCACTAGGTTAATTAGGTACGTTAAACACAAAAATTGCATGTCCATACAATTTGGCGAGGACATTATTAAAGAATTATTGGCCCTTTTTCCAAAAGAATTAAATATTTATAGGGAGAAGATTCTACAACCCAGTTGACCAGGCATGAGATTACTTGTTTTTGGTTTGTTTAATATGAGCAAGATGCGGATCATTTTATTTATTTATATTTACAGTAATTAAAGAACTACTGAAATTATTTTCAGATTACACATACCGGTACATAGATTCATTAATTTCACAGATGAAAAGGAATTACTTTAGGGTTAGGATTGATAACAACCTAATGAGCCTACTTGCACAATCTGAAGCCATTCTATTGGACCGAAAGCTGCTTATAACGGCCATTTTTCTGCAAACAGCCCCTTTACTGTGTAAAAGAAGACTATATAAAATGTTGTTCTATATATTAGAACAACATTTTTATTCTTCAAAATGAATAGATGCATTGCTCTACTACCATTCAATAAATAATCCCGTAATGTTTTTATGATAAGGAGTAGGATAATGCAAGCCGTTTTGATATGCACTAGTTTTACTAGTGACTAAAGTGACCAAAATAAATGCAGATCATTTTAACATCACAATATTCTTTATTATCCCATTTAACCCGCTCTGAGTAAGTAGTGCTTAAGCATCAACCTTTGTACCGTCAATAAGACAAATGATTATGGTAGTTTTACCAAATCAGATGGTCGATTGATAATAATACTTTTCTATGCTTTCAGTCCAGGTGAAATAAATTGGTTTACAAAATATTGCCCTCTTCAATGCACATATGAACTTTGTTTTTCACATTATATGTATGCTAAATAGATCTTAACCAAAATAATATCTTACATTTTACTTCATTGTAAATAAATCCTAACTGAAAAATAACCATCTAAATATTTGAATCTAATTTCTCTGGTCTTTTTTTTTTTTGTCAGGCAACCTTGACTGGGTGGGGGAAGAGTTCACCCATAATGCAGGAGCGGGCCTTGTCATCAGTCATCCAGGAAATGTCGCAGAGAAGAACTTCACTGTGGTGGAGCAGTTACAGGCTGTTTTTGAGCGGGACTGGTTTTCACGTTACGCCAACACTCTACAGACTAATAAAATTCCTGTTTGCAGCAAACAACATATCAACAAATCTGTGCTGTCTAAATCCAGCCACAGAAACTATGGACCATTGCCTAGCAGGCAGTATGACAACGGTCCTACACCACTAAGAAACCATCACAAAGTTGATGGAGTCACACAGGACAAAATAACACACCACGAAGATGGGCTTAGGAAAATGATTTCCCAAAGCTTGGCTAATGAGCAGCGGCCATTTACAAACAACCACCAAGAGAGACCTGCAGACATAAAGAATGACCCCGATGACCAACGCCAACATGTAAAGGTTTGGAAGCATAACATTTCAGAGGATCCACCCAGTAGGTGGGCTGAGAGCAGCGGATTCAGAGAGATGCTCAATGGATCTTTGTGATGTGCCAACCTGATTCTGCAACTTAACTTTTGTAGCCCTTTAATATAGTTATTTTTAGGTAAATAAGAACTTTTAAGGTTTAAGTAATGTCCAGGAGTCTGTTTCATGAAGCAGGTTTACTGAAAACGAATTATTCTAAACCTGATATATGGGAAATTCTGAGTTTTCCGTTTCACAAAGACAGTATTTAGTTTGGTTTTTGTCATAGTTTTGTGCATAAAAAAATTAATTAGTTCTGTTATACACATTAGGTTTTAAAAACAAACTTTACATGTCTGTTTGGCGAGGATCTTATTAAAGAATGATCAGCATTTTTTCACAGAGAATTAAATATTTATAGGTAGAGGATTCCACATCTCAGTTGAGAGGATATGAGATTTATTCTTCTTGGTTTTGTTATTTTGAGCAACATGCGGATCATTTTATTTTTATTTATTTATTTTACAGTACATGAAGAACTACTGAAATTATTTTCAGATTAAACATAAATAGATTATTTAATTCCGCGGACAGAAGAGGAACTAGTTTAGGGTTAGGATTAAGATTCACTCAGTGATAACAACCTACTGAGTCTACTGACACAATCTGATGCCATTCTATGTAAATGATAACCACAAATATGGACCATTTATTTGGATGACAACATCAGAAATTGCTGGAAGCAGCAACTTAGTACTTGCTATGTAATAGAAAACAGAATTAAACTGAAGAGGAACCCCATGAGACTATGACCAGGTTCCATCTATTAAAACGTTTTTAGACTTCATCCTCACTGCTACCGGATGAATTCACCTAAATAGATTCATTGATCCACTACCATTCAAGAAATAAACCGGTAGTGTTATCATGGTCACAGCGGGCTATGGCAAGCGGTTTTGATATGTATCAGTTATACTGAATATGTATTACTGATATCAGAAAAAAACATGTTTTCCTTGTCAAAATTACTGTTTCAAACAAAATGACATTCTTCAGATCTAGAATAAACATTCTGGATATCTAGAAATTAATTTCAGATCTCCATATTCCTATTGCTACTGTCTTCATTTGTGTGATTTTTTTACTACGAAGAAATGTATTTCAGATATAAATATATTTTCAGTGAAGCTGATAAATGTTTACTGATCTATAGGTAGCACAACAGAGAGGAGAGTGCTTTTAATAAATGTAAAAACGACCTGCCATATCGGACTTCATATAAACTTCCGAATTAACTCGAGCAACAATCTTCCCCTTTGTCATCTTCCTCTTCTTTGCAGCTGTAACGCTGTTTCTCTGTCTTTTTAAACACATTCTCCATTTTTTTTATTTCTTCACTCTTTGAATGGGGCTCCATTGATGATGGCTTTTCAATCTTCTTGCGCATGTGTTAAACGCTGAGTGGACCTGCTTGAGTAGATTGGCCTAATTCATAGCAGCCATAGTGAAACTGAAAACTCAGAGTTCCCGACCTTAGGTTAGATCAATTTAGGCTTGTCAATTTGAATCTGAGTTTGTCAAACCTGCTTCATGAGACAGACCCCAGTTGGCAAATATCCCAAGAAGGAAACTCTTGGAAGTAAATAAAACCTCCCATGGCAGCATGGACATTTCCAGGGCTGCTAAATAAACAAAAATTTTAAAATACAAAGCATCAGGTTAGTTTTGGCACTGGACTGTTGTACAAACAAAAACGTACTTATCTGCAACATATTTCACCAAATTTCAGTCAAACGTTGTATGTGAATTTTAACTGATTGCCTGAATATTGTATGTAACATAAAATGTTTTTGGCAGTCATACCTTATTGCCCTTTAAAAGGGGGGAAAGACCTGCATGCTTATGCATAGACAGGAAGAGGTGCAGAATGTGCAGCTATAATAGCTACATTGAAATAGTAGCTCTTCAAATTAACTGAAACTTTATTATAATTGCCTTTTTGTGAAAAAAATATGTTAATTTTGTTAACCTCTAGTAACTATTCCAGAGTAGGCATTTCTAACTTTAAAAAAATATCATATTCAGTTTCCTTAATTAAAAAAGGATGCTAATGTGGCTCTTTCTGCAAAATGTGTTTGGGCCTCATAGAAACAAAAACAAAAAAAATATTCTAAAAACATCCAAAATCCAATAAGGTTCAACAACTTGAAAGATACTTCCAACTTTTCTTCTTTTCATGAAATTGAATGCATCAAATTTACTTATTCTATCAGTAGCAAAACTAGTTTAAATAAGGTAGCTGTACATTGGTAAATTTCCTGTTGCAATGCTACTGCTAGAGAACTTTCTGTACTTTTTCCACTGGGAGAAGTATTTTTTTCCCCCAGTCTGGATATTGGGCTTTTATTCTGAAGGGCTTCTAAAAAACTAAAAGTTACTTTCTTTGTATTCCTAAATCCAAACTAAGCAAGGCAACTCAGTTCATACGCTTTAACTCTTTCTAAATAAAACACTGTATATATCTACACAGTAGTTGGAAGGGGGACACCTGGATCTCTGCTGTAAACCAAATCAATGCAATGAATTTTTAACCAAGTTCAGAGCTGTAGTAGCTGCTATGGACCCTAAAGGACATGTTGGACTGTTACGTCACCCCCTGAACCTAACAGGCATTCCCTTTAATGTAGGCAATGCTAAACCTAGGCCGTAGATTATTTTTTGGAAGGAAAAGCTTTTCCTTCAATAAAACCTTGTAGTAAATGTCATCTCGCATCTTAAATGTTAGCATGTGGCTTGTATTAACATAAACCTAACCATGTTTTTGGTGTTAATAATTCTTTCTAAGGCCTTTTCTTCCACTAAAGATCATTGATCAAGTCAACAGGATGACATCAGCTAAAACTGTTGTTACATGTTTAGGCTTGTTTAGGTGTGTGTTGGCCTAGTGGTTATCCCCACAGCCTCCACTCTGAATTCCTGAGGGAAACACTTAACCCCACACTGCTCCCTGGGGGCCACACAATGGCAGCCCAGTGCTCCCCAAGGGGTTGGGTCAAAATAAGTGAATTTCCCCATTGTGGGACAATGAAGGGATTTACATGTTGTCTTGGTCACTGTTAAAAGTAAATCATCTGTAATAAAGGATTTTCAGTTTGATGAGACAAAGTTAGAAAGCACAAAAGCAAATAAAATAGACATAAAGTGTTCCATACACAGGTATTTATAGTACATTATAAAAGTAATTACTTCCCTTTGAACTTTTACATATTTTTGTACATTAAAACTACTAATAGTTTTTTTTGTTTTGCTTTATGACGCACATTACCAGCTTTAGGAGTGAAGACTTTTGTACATTCTCTACAAAATAGCTTCAGCTCATTCAGATGACATGAAGATGTCTTCAAATATATGCTTTGATCAGTTCCCCTGATTCTCCTTCTGTACTTTCTTTAAACTATTCAAACACATTCTTTCAAAAGCTCTGGCTGTATATTTGGTGTCTTTCTCCTTCTGAAAACAGAACCTCCATCTCCAACTCCAGTCTTTTGTCTCATTGTCCTTTATTTAACTCCGTCCTCATCCTACCATCAGCTCTAACCAGGTTTCAGTCACCACTGAAGAAAAGCATATTGCTGTTAGCATCATGTATCACGTTGGTGATCACCATTGTTTATTTTTTTTATTTTCTTTTGCTGTTATTCCGTCACTCTTTCTGTCAAATGCTTGTAGTGTGTACAAATAATAGTCATTCCCTTTGCAGCTGCTCTGGACTTACTGTGGGGCCTTTGATTCCCTCTTTTTGTGCAGTGGTTGCTTTCTGACATTACATTTAGGTCATAACAATAAGTTTTGGTCATTTCTGACTAGAGCCCTTTCTTCTCCATGTTTGCTCTGTCCTCTATGTTGCTTTTCTTCTTATAGTTAATGCCTTAGTATAGCTTCTATATTTATACAGAGATAATATACACCAAAGTGGACTAATAAGGTTGCTTCTGAAGGCAGTTAGCTGCACTTGTTTGATTGTATCAAAATAAAAGGAGCTGGGTACATCAGCTCAGGATGGTTGTAGGGTGTCTGTGGCACAGTGAGATGAGGAGATACCAGGCAATCAGAAGCTTCTAATGTAGAAGTTTCCTGCAGTAAGATGTTAAATCCCAAATTACCTATTGATCTGTGCATTGATGGGTGAATGTGACTTGTGGTGTTAAAGTGCTATGAATAGTTAGTACTACAAGGAAATGGATGATAAGATCAGCCCATTTGAGTAAAAACTTTTGAAAACGCTTTTAATAGTTTGTGTTACTCTATCACATTAGCTCCTAATAAAATGTGCAAGAGAGACAGGCAAAAGTCCAAGAGGTGTAAATATTTTTACAAGGAACCGTATAAACCATGTAGCTGGGTCAACTATACTTCAAACTTTTTTTTATTATTTACATTTATTAACATTTTTGTTTTTGTTCTCTATTTTGCCTAAAAATATTGAACCATATATTTGTCAAGCAATTAATTAGTGGCTTTATCCTTATCAAACCTCCAGTCACACGACTTTTAAGAAGAAAAATATTTTAAGGGAACATTTTTTAACCGAACAGACACCATATATTATGCCAAATCACTGATCTAAGTGGAAGATCAAAGAAACGTGCCAAAAAACTTAGCTTGACAAAATATCTTCTGCCATCTAGTGGATATTATAAGAAAAAACATCAACTTTGCATCGACACAAAAAACTCAATATCTAGTAGTGACAGTGGTCTCAAGGTTCCTACAGGTTAATATGTGTTATTTCACATGAAATATATAAACTGTAATGTCAAACAAATATATCAGTGACCGACTGAACTGGAAATGTTTTGACACCTGTTATCTACTGTTGTTAGATTTAACCAGATGTAAAGGTGTTCATGTTCTTCCCCTCTTGTCTAATGCACTCTGTCACCACACTGTCATTGGTAAGAATCGATTACCAACTGCCTGTGACCTGTGTTGGTTAAAAATGCTGCTAATATACACTGCAAATGTCAATTGGTGGCTTAATACTTGCTAGTCTGTTTCCCTCTTAGCAGGGACCACTGTATATGCATGACACTGAAGCTTGTTTTTTATACACAGAAAAACTGAAACCGAACAGTCCACATGTCAAAGTTTGAATTCAGAAATGTCTTGCAAATGCCTTTAAGACCAATCAAAGTAAAATCAGGATCATCTCTGCATTACCTGCTGGAAG